CCTGCTCTGTCCCTGACCTTCACTACCCAGGCCAAACAGGGTTTCTCCATCCCCTGAAGCAGCACTTTCCCTCCCCTGGATGCTAAACCCAAGTTGGCTGGGAGTTTAGGGGAGAGAGTGAGACAGAACACCTCCCTAGTTCTCTAGGCAAGACAATGCACCTCTTGATTGGAAGGGACCTTGGAAGCTTCGGGTGCTGATGGCTTAGCCAAAGACCAGGCAAGCCTGGGTAGAGATGAGGTGGAGAGAGGAAGCAGGCCAGGGAGGGGGATGCTTTGCTGCTGCAGCTATAGTCAGAGCAGGGCCCAGGCACAGACCAGCATTACATAAGAGCTCCTGGTTCCAGCTGGTTCCAATCAGTCTTCCTCCCTCCATCCCTCTTCAGCCTCTTTTGCCTTCCCTAGTGCTAAGATGAGTAACTGAGGTCAAAAAGCTCAGCTGGAAGCCAGGCCCTCACCCTAGGATTAGAGAGCTGGTAGAGGGTAGAGGAAGGCATTGGAGATGCGATGGAGGAGGGGCAGTCACTACTAGGACGAACATTGGATTTGGTGGGACTTGGAGAGGCAGAGAATTTGGCTCTGCTGCTGAACTGAAACTCAGCATTCCATCCCTCCCTTTGAGTCTCGAATGCCTTCCTGGCTCAGCTCTGCCTCTCAGAGTGTTTACCTTCATTTGAACTCAGGTGCCACCTCCTCCATGAAGCCTTCTCTGACACTCCTGTCTCCACAGGTCTCAGGGCCTTCTCTCCACTAAAATAACTCTGCATTTACTTAGAGAATACTAGATTTGGATTAAGAGCTAGAAGGGACGTCAGGGGTCATCTAGTCTAACCCTCTGGTTTCACAGAAGAGGAAATTAAGTCAAACTCAGGGGTGAGTGGGTAATTTGCTGCAGATCATATGGACTGTATCTCAGGTGGGAATTAAACCCGTATTTCTCTGATGATAAACTCAGCTCTAATCTATCCACTAATCCAGGCTGCCTCTGCGGCTGGATCCCCCAGTGGAAGGAGAGGTTAGGGAGGAGAGGAATCATAAGACCCCAGATAGAGATTTTGGAGGACAGCCTGTCCAATTCTCCCATTTTACAGATGAGGAGACTGAGACCCGAAAAGTTTAAATGACTTGGTCACAAGAGTACCTCCAGGGCCCGGTACAGAGCCTTGTACACAGCATTTTGGGATGATAAATTCAGACCTGCAAGGGACTTCCGAGACTGTCTATTCCTCCTCCCTTATATTATAGAAGAGGCCCAGGACAAGCATAGGGTCATAACTTAAAGTCTAGAAGGGACCTTAGAAGCCATCTAGTCTACCTGTCGTTTTACAGAAAGGAAAATTGAGGCCCAGAGAAGTGAAAGGTCATACATATAGTAAATACGAGAGGCCAGATTTGGACTCATGTCCTCTGATTTCAAAATCCCTATTACACAGCTGCCATCCACTGTAGCTGCCTGGCTGTTGAGTTGAATTGAATTCTTTCTTTTGGAGAAGTTACAGAGTTCTCTCAAACCCTGGCCTCTCTATTAATCTTGGTAATAGCCTTGTGATGTAGCGGTGGTTGGGGCAAGGGAGTAAAGAATGCTCACCCCTCCCCATTTTCCAGCTGGGGCACAGAGAGAGGAAAAAATCTCAGCAGACCTCACCTTGACTTGGGGGCACATCTGAGATGGGAACCCAAGGTTCTTGCTTCCCAATTCATATCTCCATTGCCCCTGTACTCACTAGGAGGAGGGCTTAGGGACTCAGGAGCACAGTCCTGAATGAGATAAACACCCAAGAACTCTCTCCTCTTCTACTGGTGTTCACTTGATAGAAATGCCCACACCAGGCTTCCACTCCAGCCACCCCCCAGTGATTAGAGCCTCCAACTCCCTAGAGTCACTTGGCTTCCTTCCTCCACTCCTTCCACTTAGGGGCTTCTGCCCTCAGTAGGGAGGCTACAGTGCTGACTTTGGGACTAGAGAATCTCACCTGGAATCCCAGCCTTTCATTTTAAACTCTATGACTGTGGCCAAAACATCTGACATCTCAGGGTCTCAGTTCCTACATCTGTACGATGACAGTCTAGGGGAAGGTAGCAATGCTTGTTGGCAATTATAGGAATGAATCCCACCTCTATCTCTTATGAGCTAGGTGACCTTGGAAAAGTCACCGGGTGTCTCTGGGCCTCAAGCTCTTCCTCTGTGAAATGTGAGGCTTGGATTTGATGATATCATGGATTCTCAGAGTGAGAAGGGGCCTCAAAGGATAGCTACTTGATCGGTAGCTCCTCTTTAATACCTCCAGCTTGGCTTGAACACTCCCAAGGTCAGGGAACTTACTACCTCCTGTTTCAGTTTTGGACAGTGCTGGAGACTGTCTGAAGAAGGGTGGAGATTGTCTGAATAAGGATGTTTAGGTTGGAGAACAGAAAACTTGATGGGGATGGGGAGCAGGGGAGCTTTCTAAGTATCTTGAAGACTCAGAAGAGGACATAGAAATCATCTTTCTCGCCTTCTTCTCCAAGGTCCTTTTTGGTGTGATTTCTTTGTCCTATGCCCTCCCCTCCCAAGTCCCTTTCTCTCCTGCTGATCCCTTCTCCTATATTTCCCTCGGCTCCTCCTCTTCCTGCATATTTTCCCAGACTTTCCACAAGAGTTTCCAGGAGAGCCTGGTTACCACAGACTACGGACCCAGACAGCTAGGCCCCTGGGGACTTCAAAATCCCCGTTCCTCCTCCCTGGGCCCAGGGCTGCTGACTCAGCCTTTTAGGGGTAGTGTGTGGAAGGGGGAGGAGCTGTCTCCCTCTCTACCCCCCTTCTGCCATATCCCCACCCCTATCTCCATCCCCATCTTTATTCCCATCCCCCTCCCTATCCTTGTCTTCATCTCCATCTCCATCCATATTCTTATCTCCATCCTCATCCCTGTCCCCATCCCCAACTTCATTCCTACCCCCATCCCTTTCTTCATCCCCATCTCCATCCCTATTTTTATCCCCATCCTCATTCTTATCCCCATTCACATTTCCATCCTCATCTTCATTCCCATCTCCATCCCCATCCCCAGCCTCATCCCTGTCCCTATCCTGGAAGAATGCCCGGTTCCAGGGCCCTTCAAAGGGTGCAGCAAGTGTGGACTGTGTATTCAGGAAGGCTGAATAGGCAAGGGGCTAACAGTGGCTCCCATCTGACAAGAGTTTCCCATGCCTGTTCCACTGGAGCTGTCGTCTTCCAGGGGACCTTTGCATGGAGCCGGCCCTACAGAGACCCAAGGAGAGCAGGACCATTGTATGCCCATAGTAATTTGCAAATAATTTCCTGCCTCAGAATATAAACAACTAGCCTTTCTTTATATCCCTAATGCTTAATACAGAGCCTGGCACACAGTAAGTGCTTAATTAATGCTCATGGAAGAATAAGACTTTGGCACTAGAAGGGGACCTTAGAAATCATCTCCAGGGGTTCCTAACTTGGGGGATCCACGAACATGTTTTTTAAAAAATTAATAACTCAGTATAATTGATTTCCTAAGCAATCCTACATATTTTATTTCAAGCATTTAAATAAAATGCATTCTAAGAAGGGGTCCATAGACTTGAACACACTGAAGAAGAGGTCCAGGACATCACATGTTAAGAAGCCCGAATTTCTAGTCTAGTCTACCTCTTCTAGGCTGAGGGCTAGACCAGAAAAATGACTCAGCAAAGGTCACACAAGTAGTGAATCCAGCATCCTTTCCCCTCCCCTGTGAACCTTTCATCTTTTGGGGCTTAAGCTTCTACCAAAACATCTGACAGGTGGGGGAACTGAGGCTGAAGGCGATGACATTGACTGTAAATTGTAGAAGGAATTGTTGGCAGGATCTGGACTAGAGGGAATGCAGGCCCGGCGACTCTCAGATGAATATCATTGCCTTCATGGCCTCTTCTGCTAAGGAGTAGAAGATGGAGAGAGGTAGATACCGGGATCTCTAAGCTTCCTTTTCAGAAGACCAAAACCTAACCACCCCCCACGTGTAGAGCCCTAGATGCACCGGCCTGGGAGGGAATAGATGCGGCTTCTTCCCTTTTCCTCCTTACCCACCTTAGCCCCTGGTCCTCCCTGGGTTCATCCATGTCTGTTGCCCCACCAGGAGGGCCCTAGGGAAGGCTAGGGCTTTGGACTCTCCCAAAGGACTATCTTGCATACTCCTCCCTCCCCATATCTCCCCCAAAAGGAACAGCGCTGTACCCAGTTCCCTAGAGATGGGGCAGCTGACATAGAGTCTAAGGGCAACTCTGACTCCCCATCCCCCACCTCCGCCCCTCCTCCACCACGGAGAATAAGGTCAGAAATAATTAGATTCCAAATTCCCCTTATCTGTCTCTGACCCTTATCTGACTATTCTGTTCTCTCTGCCCAGGAATATCCCTTACCCCCTCATCTAGAATAGCAGCAGCTTAGAGGCAGCTCTGGGTCCCTCCCCCAGCTGAGCCCTGCATCCGCTTTCCAGGGTCAGCCCCAAACCTCCCCTCCTCACCTCTGGCTGCCCATTCAGATCCCTGGCCATAGAAGGGCATTTTAGAGAGCCTTGTTCCCTGCCCCCTCCTCCCAAGACTGGAAGAATGTTGAATCCAGGAGGCCTGGCCCCCAGTGGGGGGAGGGGGAGAGGAACCCCTCTCCCAGCCCCCTTTTTTTCCATAGCCCTCTGCATAAATCGTTGTTAAAAAGGCCAATTTCCCCTTTCCAGCCCTGGTACCTCCTATCCTGGTCAACTCCCCCCACCCCCATCTGATTCCTAAGAAACTTCCTTTGCTCCCAGGGGCCTTTTGAGGACTACAAAACCTTCCAGACCTGAAGGAAGCCTATTTCTAATGGTGGAACTTCAGGCACAGTGACTGGTGTGTGGGAGACAGTTTCGCGCGCCCCCCCCCGTCTGGGATGGGAGGGGGCAGTGACTGCTGACGTGGCTTGTGCAGGCAGCCTGCTACTTGCAGGGGGATGAGGCTGCCCACTGGAATTTTCCCACCCACATCCCTGTTCCCAAGGCTGAATCCCACAAGTCAATGAAGAGTTAAAGCTAGGAAATCTAACCCTCGTTTTATCTGAGCCAAACCAGAACAGGGCTGGGAGGAAGGGAGGAGGGATCAGGAGGGAGGGAGCGAGGAGGAGGGGAAACCTGGGACCCAGCTCGGCCCCCTCCCTCCGCCTTGGCTGGGTCCTGGTGCCAGCAGAGACTTATTATTACAGCGATGGGCCAGGGAGCCAGAGGCAACCAGCAGCCTTGGGCCTGACTAAGCCGCTCAGCCTGGCCTTCATGGTGAGTCATGAGTGGGGTGGGGGAAGGTGGGGAGCCCCCTCCCCTGGAGAGCAAAGTGTGGAGGGAGGGGCTCAGCCCTCCCCTTTTCTGGCTGCCTTCCCACTGGAAGAGAGGTCCCTTCCTCTGAGGCTCTCCCTCCTACCCTCCACTCCCTCTTCCTCCTCCTTTGCTGATTTTCCACTGGAGTCAAAAGACCTGGGTTCAAATCCTGACCCCACCACTGCGTGACCCTTTCTGGGCCTCAGTTTCCTCATCTGTTAACTGAAGGCATTGAACCAAGGTGACCTCTGAAGTCTCTTTCTGCTTGACATTCAGTGATTCTCCCTCCTCCTCTGACCAGAGGGGAGCCTGGCCCATGAGCAATCTCCCCTGCCAGTGCCCCCCCGACCATCTGGGTGACTCTCCTCCCTTCCTCCCCCCCCCATACTCCTTTTCCTCCCAGACCCTCATGTACTGGCCAGTCTGACTCATCATCCTCTCCAGCTGCAGAGTGACTGTGATGGGATGGGGGGGGGGAGGTTGGCTTCTTTGAACACAGATGCTTCTTTTGTTTGGGGTGGGGGAGGAGGGTCTGAAGGGAGCCAGACATTCTACCCCTTGACATTTCTGATCCAAAGGCACCTTAGCTTCCCCAATGGGTGACCCAGCTTACAAAGTGGGAGAAGGGAGGACAGGGTTTTTCCAGTTAACAGAGCATTTCCTTCCCTCTCCACTTCCAAGAGGATGATGACCCCCCCCACAAAGCCAGCCACCCCCAGGGCCCCTCTCCTTCAGGCCAGTCCTACAAGGCAGCATCAGCATCACAGACCTATGACACAGCCAGTGACTGGCTATGACTCTCCTGCTCCCCTATGTCTGCAGAATGCTTGCCTCCCAGCCCAGCTCCCAGCTGGGATTCTGGGGACCAATGGGGAAATAAGAGGGTCTGGAGCTGGGAAGCTGAGGCCCAATCCTAGAGGAAAAGGGTAGATGTGTCCTGCCCTTGGCTTCTCACTTGGAGGAGAAAGTCAGGGGCTCTTTTGTAGGGCAGAGTGGGACCTCCTTCCCAGTTCTAACAACCTAGGAGGGTTTTTTTTAATTCTCTAAGTCTGAGGCTTGCTGTCTCTGGGAGATTCCTATGGACGTGGCCCAAATGATTTTAAATTGGAAAAAGATGGGGCCAGGGAGGAACCTTGAAAATAAAATTGTCTCTCAACTCTCTGGTTCTCTGCTCCATCACTCTGACCCTGAATGGCCCCTCTGGCCCAAGCTGGAGTCATACATAGCGGCTGGAGCCAAGGGGCCCTTACAGAGGCTCTGGTCCTAACCATGCCTCCTCTTGTCCCTGGGCTCCAGAGGGGGTAATGTGGACCTTCATCACTTTGTTGCCTCCTGCCTATAACGCTGGACTTTGTGACAGCCAAATTTGCAGGAATTCCTAGAGCCCTGCACAGAAAGAAGTCACTATAATGGCTAGGAGAGGGGATCAGGAGCTAAGACGGGGACAGTTTTTATTGTTAGCCGTTATTGAAGGGGGCAGGAAGAACCCTTAAATCCTGGCACTCAGACAGCTGCCTCTTCTGCTGATCCACAGGGCTCGTCCTGTGCCCGATCCCTGCTGGGATCTCCGGTCTGAGTCAAAGCCACCACTGACCAGGGCTGATTGGTGTGGCCACTATTAAACAATTTTTCTTTGACTCAGAATTGGGGCATAGAATTATAGAGAACATCTAGTCTACCCCTGGCCTGATTAGGCATCTTTCCCACAACATCTGTGGCAAGTGGTTGTCCTTCCCTTCCTGGAAACCTCCAGGGATGGGGACCATTTACCATTTGGACAGTTCCAGTGTTAGGAGTCAGATTTTCACCACGGTGGTTTTCTATCCCAGATGACAAGCCCATCCCCCTTTCCTTCCTTTTGGGTCTTTGGCCCTGTGCTTCCTCATCTAGGTCGCCATGGCGACAGCCTCCCTGACTCCCCAATGGGCTGCCCTCTTGATCCCACTCTTGGTGCTTGGGGTGCCCACTGAGGAGCCTGTACCTGAGACACCTTCCCCAGCCCCTGGGGGCTGCCAGCGATGCTGCCAAGGATCAGACTCCCTAGACCCTTCAGGGGCCAGTCCATCTGCTGTCCCCTACGTGCTGCCCGAAGTGAGACCCTACATCAACATCACCATCCTGAAGGGTGAGTGTCCAACATGCTGGTACCTGGCTCTGCCCTCTACTGGGATGGGGTGGGGAGCAGGTGGGGCTGAGAGGATGGGGTCCTCTCTAGGGGTAGACATCCAACGACTGAACAGACTCTTTTTGGTGGTTTATACAATACCATATTGTTCTGTTACCTTCCAGAGCCCCCCTCTGGGATGCATATGATCCATCAGTATTCTGGGCAGGTTTCCCAGAGTGCTGTGTGTATTTCCAGCTACTTGGGAGGAGTAACTGTCCAACAGTTTAAGCCCAGCCCATTGGGACCATCAGGTCATAGGACGATAGGATTTAGAGCTAGAAGGGATTTTAAAAACCATCTAATCCCACCCCCTTATTTTAGACATGAGGAAAATAAATCTCTGCCCTGCTTCTTCAAACCTTCCCCTTAAATGGGACGAGCTTCCCAGAGCAGAAAGGAACATGTTCCCAATACCAAGCCATTAAGTGGACATTCGGGGGCCAGCAGGCATACTTCTAGTCCTCCCCCCACTCAAAATGCATCCTCTCCCCAAGTTCAAGTCGTGAATCCTTTCCTCACTCTCCCACCTTCACACTGCACACAGACACTGCACATCCGTGGCTCCTGTCTGATGCGGATCAGGCTGAAGATGTCACCTCTCCCAGGTCATTGTTGTAGGGTGTCTACCATCAGAGAGGGACAGAAGAAAACCACAGAGGGTGGCATCAGCATCCCTCCCCTGACAGATAGGCTGGTGATGCCTGTACGCCCCTTCTGAAAACCAGACTTTTTAAATGCAAAAAATAAAATACCTGGGATTACAAAGGAAGCCAACTATTTTAGAATGTAATGACCAGAAAAGGGTTTGAACAAATTCATGGATCTTAGATATAGTCCAACCTCCCAATTTTTTAGATTAGGAAACTGAGCCTCCGGGAAGTTAAAGAGATACCCTGCACACTGCTCAGTCACACTCATCTTAGCAGTGGGAGGGTTTGAATCCAGGTCCTTTTGGATCCCAAGATAATGGTGCTCCTACTATACCGTGAAAATGCTTTTCTGTTATTGAGAATGTGCTTATTATAGTATTCTATATCACATATAGAAGATTGCTTATTATATTATTGAGAATATGCTTATTATAGTATTCTATATCACATATAGAAGATAGCTTATTATATTGTTGAGAATGTGCTTATTCTCAATCTGGCCAACAGTTTCTGAGTGAAGGAACATATTCAGTAGAAAGAGTTCAGGGTATAAAGTCTGCAAACCTGGGTCTTCTGCCCATTACCTGGGTGACTCTACCCTGAGTCTCAATTTACCCATGGGTTCTACCTCTCTCTTTCTGATCAGTCATATCAGTTCAGATGATGGGGCAGGGAGGGTCATCACATCAGGTCCTCTTGTTCACTCTGATCAGCCTCATGTGGCCCCTTGGATTATAATTCTTGGCAGAAGCTTCTCCAATGTTAACATCATGCTTCCTCCTGGGAGGTTGTTAGGAAGATTCTTCTCCAGTCTCAGTGTCACAGTGGTGCCTAAACAGGGACTATAACCCTTCAGAGTCTGGAGCCCCTGGGTATTGGTTCTTCAAGACTTCTGTAGTGCCACAGACAGGCCGGGAGGCTCTCTGGTAATCCCTTCCTGTTGTCTGCGTCAGGACCCTGCCTTGTAGCTGCATCACGTTCTAACCAGACTTTCTGTCCAGGCAAACAGACACCTGCTGCCCCAAAGAATGATAATTGTCCATGGTAGGATCCTTCTGGCTATATTGCCCGATTAACAGGCTACTCCATGGTCCATCAGCTTGTCTAAAGCCCTGGCTGGGAATTGAGAGTTTAGGTACTAATCTCCAGATGCCTCCTTTTCTGTGTTATCTCTCTGGGGATCTGGGAAGATTCTCAAGCAACCCACTCAATACAGTTACTCCAGTGCCCTTTCCTGGATGTCTGCCCCAGTACCTTCTGTCCCCACCCAAGAATCTGCAGCCATATACAAAATCCTTACAAGGTCCCTTGTTATGGTCTATCTCCATCTGACCTTCGTCCAAAACACACACACACACACACACCCCAACAGTCCTTGGGAAAGGTCTACACCCATATTTGAGCGCTGATCCTTCTCAAAGTTGGGCAGCTCCAGCGTCCCCCATCCTCCTAATGCCCTAGAGAACACTCCTGCCCAGGCTCACTTCTGAGGGTACCTCAGACTAGCCCAGTGCTGGTGCATGCTGGCTGCTCCAACAACGTTAGAGCAAGTAACTTAGCAATGCACCTCCCCCCGCTAAAAAAAAGTCACCCTAGATGAGCCCACAAAATTGACATTTGACTCAGAGCCAGAGTTTTGAGCTCATGTGCACTGGATTCAATCTTCGGAGGCTTCTCAATAATTTAAATAATGGTTCTGTCCTTTCCTAAGGATAAGGCCCTGGGAACACACAAATCTAACTAGTTTCTAACTCTCCCCTAGTGCATTCAGTTCCCGTGACAGCATCAGGATAACAAAATATGAGGCATTGAACCAATTAATACAAGTGCAGTAAAGAACAGGGTAAATGATGAGAAGAAATTGATCATAGTTCAGTTAAAACAATGAAATTTAATTGGAAAAACAAAGAACAGGGAAGGGACCAGTATCACACAATAAGAGGCATAAAGCACAGAGTTCACCTAGTTTGATCAGCCCATTTTACAGATGAGGAAACTGATACCCAGAGAGAGGAAGTCACTTGTTCATGGCCTCGCTGGTAGTGAGCAGCAGACCATGGACTGAACCCGAACCCTCTAAATCCCAACTCCCCACATTTCTTTAACCTCTTTAGCAAAGCAGAGGTTACAGCCCACTTTTAGGTGGGTGTCATTTCTAGGCCCCCTCTTTGCCAGGGAATTGGTCACAATCCACGAAAACAAAGCCTTAGATCATTGCTAGGTTTGGTCTTTTACTATGGGTGACCACCAGAATAGCCAGCTCTTTCAAGGCAATATCATTTCATCTTATCCTCACCACCATCCTGTGAGGTAGGGCTTATGATTACTATTTCCATTTCATAGAAGAGGAAACTAAGGCTGAGAGAAGTTAGTGACCTAGCCAGAGTCACACAATGGGATTTGAATTCAGGTCCTCTTAATTCCTAGCCCAGTACTCTGTCCACTGGGCTGTCCAGCTCATTGAGCCAAATAGCTTCCATGTCTCTCTGCTTTCCTGCTTCCCTCTGGGCTCTTGTTTTGCTTCCTTGCTCTGATCAGCGTCGTGTTCTTCCATTCCTGTAGTTCTGAAGCACTCTGGGCCACCTCCCCAGACCCCAGGCTCCTCCTTCCCGCTAACTAGACTGCCTCTGCCTCTGTCCACTGAGCTTGTGTTCCTCCTCCCCGACATCATCTCATCCATCTTCTTCTGGGTTCCTTTTTCCTGGAAGCTCCTCTCTTCCGTTCCTCTGTTCATGTGCTTTGGAGCTGTGACGTTAGGGAAATGTCTCTTCTCTTACATCAGCATCTAGGTCCTCTCCTGGCCGGTCAGATCAGGAGAGACCAGCCTCCTCTCAGTGAGACAAGAGGCTGTCTGATAGCTGTAAGACCTTTGCCAAGTCACTGAACCTTGTCTGTAAAATGAACGGCTTGGATTAAATAGCCTTATTAAGTAGCCTGGATTAAGAGTAAGAACTCTCCCTTCTCTAAATCAATGAACCATCTCCTGACCTGTATAAGATGAAGGGTGTGGATAAGATTCTCTCTAAGGTTCTCCTGCACTTTAAATTCTAATGGTGGGACTTTGGATATTGTGATGGAGGAGGAGATATCATTTGGAGTGGGCATTTTCAGAAGAACCATGCAGACATATGGACATATTTGCTTGGAGGGAACGGATTCTGGGGTGACTGAAATGGCCCATGTAGGGGGAGGACTAGCCCTTGGCTACCACCCTGCTAAAAGATGCTCACCCTTGCTTTACTTTGCAGGAGATAAAGGAGACCGGGGTCCCCTTGGGATGCCAGGGAAGATGGGCAAGGAAGGCTCCCGAGGGGAACGAGGCCCTCTGGGCCCGAAAGGGGCCAAAGGCCAGGCAGGGAGCCCGGGGGAGCCATGCAAGTCACAGTACTCGGCTTTCTCTGTTGGCCGCAAGAAGGCCCTGCACAGCACCGAGGACTATCAGCCCTTGCTCTTTGACACGGTCTTCGTGAACCTGGACGGCCAATTCGACATGTTTTCTGGACACTTCTCCGCCCCCGTCTCCGGCATCTACTACTTCAGCCTCAACGTCCACACCTGGAACTTCAAGGAGACCTACCTGCACCTGATGCGCAATGAGGAGCCCACCGTCATCCTGTACGCACAGCCCAGTGACCGTAGCATCATGCAGAGTCAGAGCGTCCTGCTGCAGATGGCCTCGGGTGACCGGGCCTGGGTGCGCCTCTTTAAGCACCAGCGAGAGAATGCCATCTACAGCGATGATGTGGACACCTACATCACCTTCAGCGGCCACCCTCATCAAGCCAGGGGACGAGTGACCCCCTCCTTCCCCCCTCCCCTCCCCCATCTTTACCCTCCCCAACTCTTCTTCCATCTCTTCCACATCTCCAACTATGCCATGAAAGGGGGAATCAAGACACGTGGGGCTCTCCCCAGGCCCTCCACTAATGAGATGTTTCATTTGAGCAAATCCTCTTCCCTCTCTGGGCCTCAATTGACTCACCTGTAAATTGACTAAAGGATCTCTAAGGTCCTTTCCATATCTAACATTTATGATCCAGTCTCCTCCGTCTTCTCCTCTTCTTCTTCCTTCTACACTTTCTCCTCTTTTGTTTTCCCCATCTCTCTATCCCTTTCTCTTCTTTCCTTTTCCCTCATTCTCCACTTTCTCTTTTTCATGATCCTTCTCTCTCCCCCTTTCCTTCTCCCTCCTCGTCTTCACAGTCCTCCCATAATCTCATTCATTAATTCATTCATTCACTATGAATTGATTAAGCACCTCTTATCTGCCAGGCACTGTGCTCTGGAAATCCACAAAGCAATACTTCCTGACCTGAGGGGGCTATCTTCCTACTGGGCTCCCATCTTCCTCTCTGTCTCCCCCTTACTCCCCTCCCCACCCAGAACTGTGGCTACATCTCCCTGGAGGCTCTGGGTCTCTATCCCACCCCGGCCCTCTGGGTGAGTCCTCTCCTTTCTCTTCACTCATCAACCATAGCTTCCCTATCTACTACCCCTACCCCTTCCTCAATCTCCCTTCTGCCCTCTTCCACCCCCACATTACTGCATCCAGATCTTAGATACCAAAAGAAGAGAGGCAGGGGACAACCTGTCTGTGGATAAAGAGGAGAATAGGACCAGATTTCAAAGCTAAGGCCAGTTCCTGGCAGTCCAATCTCTGGTGGTTTCCTTCCCCCTTCTACCAGCCTCCACTGACCAGGCCTTGATAAACAGCTGGCCCACAGCTGGGATTCCACCCTGGGGAGGCCTCTAGTCATCCTCACACTCTCTTCTGGGGGCAGGTCCTTTGCTCCAGCCCTCGCCTCTTGGAATAGCCTATTCCTCTGTTCTCCCAAGATGGGGACAGACAAGGGCCCCTATTCTCATCCTTTTCCCCATGGGTCAGCTTCCCAGTGACCCCAAGGCCAACACATTCTCCTCTCCCCTTGCCCTGTCCCTGTCTAGTGCAGGCTGTGACCTATAATGTGAAGCTCAGCTTTTTAAACCCCCCTTTCCCATGGTGCTAAGGAAACATGGCTCAGCCTTGTCTTCCGGTTCATCTTGGTGCTCCCCAGTTACGAATGGCTGATACTGAGCAATAAAGAGGGAGAAAAGAGGAGGCTTGAGGATTTTCCCCTCCCCCAGCAGGCCTGGGGTATCTGGAAAGGGGAGAAGAAGGAGGGGAGAGGATGTCTAACTCCTCCTGATCCCCAAGAGGGAAGAAGAGAAATAGGATGGATCAAATAATCTCAGCTCTAAAAATCTATGATTCCAAGAAAGGCATTTGGGGTGCAGTAGGGAGACCCTAGAAACAGGGTTCAAGGATGCCACACTATATCTCTCTTACAATTTGAGGTTCTTTGGTCCCCAGGGACCTTGGGACTTGACTTCCCCTGCCTTCAGGCAGAGGTAACCTCTCCCAGGGAGCCTGGGGGAATGGCACCCCCGAAGGGAAGCATCCAGGGTGGAGGGGGCAGAGCTGAGACCCTCTCTTCCCTCTCTCCCCCTTCTCTCCATGGCATCTAAACCTTTTTCTCAAGAATTGGCCTCCAGCTCATTGGTGCTAATTCGTCCTGGCCTGCATGGGGGGGGGGTCCCCGGGCCCTGGTGCTTTTGTGGGCAGGAGTTGTCAAGGCTGGGTGGGGATGGGCTCCTTGCTATGCCTTCACTGGTGTTGGGTTGACCTACATGTGCAGCACCCGAGGTCACAGGAGACGGAACCCTAAACCACAGCGATTTTTTGGGCTTGTCTCAGGCTGATTAAAAACCAAGGTATGTTTTTCTCAGCACTTCTTTGGGCCTCATTCTTCTTTGGACTGGTCACCCATCTCATGACTCCCAGAGGTCGAAAGAAACCAAACGGGGGAGCTAGAGGGTGAGAGGGGAGCTGACCCCCAACCTTGTCATTTTTCCCACCTTAGACAGTCCCCATTAGTAGCCAAGCTTCTCCCAGGCAGTGGAAGAAGGCTTCAAATAAACACTGGCTTGGGAAATAGAATCCTTGGGTTCGAAGATGCTTAGAAGGCATGGAGTCCAGCCCCTTATGGGGCAGCTGGGTAGCACAGTGATGGGACTGGATTCGGGAAAACTTGGCTTCAAATCTGGCTTCAGACACCAGCTATGCGACCCTGGGCAATTCATTTAACCTCTCTCTACCTCAGTTTCCTCAACTGGAAAATGGCAATAATAATAGTATTTTACCTGCTAGAGTTGTGAGGACCACATAGATAATATTTGTAAAGCCCTCGGTTCAACGCCTAGAACATAATATGCTTTTAATAAATAATTATTTCTTTCCTTCCTCCCCTCATTTTACAGATGAGGAAACAGGCCAAAAGAGGTTAAAGGATTCACTCAAGGTCAAACAGTAAGTAGCAGATTCTAGATAAGGGGTCCTTAACTGGGAGGACAGAAAGCCTCTTCCCCGTATTAGAGGGTTCATGAACTTGAATGAGAAATATATGTTTACATATTACATATGAAATTTATTTATATAATATATTTAATATATGGTTTAATTTAATATATAATTTATGCATTATAAATTAAATATATAATTTACCTTGCCATATATTTTATATATTGTATATCAATTATATAATTTAATTAATAAAATTCAAGAATAATTTCCATATCATATATTTTAATTTATACCAACCTTTGATTCCCTTTGTAATCTCATATATTTTATTATGTGCATTTCAAAACATTATTCTTGGGGGCAGCTAGGTGGCGCAGTGATAGAGTACCAGCTCTGAAGTCAGGAGGACCTGAGTTCAAATGCGTCTTCAGACACTTTATACTTACTAGCTGTGTGACCCTGGGCAAGTCACTTAACCCCATTGCCTAGCAAAAAACAAACAAACAAAAACCATTATTCTTAGAAGAGGTCTATATTCTTTACCAGATCGCTTTTGAAACAAACAAGGTTTGGCCTAATGTTGCGTGGCTTGGCCCAGGTCATAAGGAGGCAGGATTTGAACCCTAACCTGGCTCCAGTCACTATGGAGCCATTGACCTTTCCTGGCTCTGCCATTTATCAGCCATGTGACCTTGGGTAAGGCAGCTAACCTTCTGTACCTCTGTTTCCTCCATTGTAGAGTAAGGAGGTTGTGATTTTTAAACCCTCTTCCAGTCTAAAGCCAGGATCCCAAGATCCTGTCTAGGCATTTTTGAAAAAAAAGACATGCTTTGTTTTTTTTTTCTCTCCTGAAATAGCAGACATCAGTTAGTTTGGGGCAGGAGCCGGGGACAGAAGAGAAACAAGAGTCATGTGATAGATGGCTAGGAGTCAGCAGAGTGGGTCAAGCCCAGGCTCTCCCAAAAACTCACTCTGTGCTCTGGGAAAAGCTACTTTTTTTTCTTTTTTGGACCTCAGCTTTCTCTATAAAGATGAGTGGGGGTGGGGTCAATTAAATTCAACCAACATATGAATTGACTCCTCTGTTCTGGGCCCCAGACTGGGTGAGGGTTAGGACGTAAGTTTCCTTCTAGCTCTGATGGTCTTGCAGGGGACAGATGGGGAGAGATCAAAGGGCTCTGGAGAAATGTGGGGAAGCCCGCCCTGCAATTTAGGATGCCAGACCAGAGCAAGACAGCCTCAGAGTATATTTAGAAGTTTGCCGAGTTGGTCAACGGACTAACCTACTGTTTTGGGGGGTTTGTGGTTGAGGACAATGGAGCTTCCAATCCCCCCATCGAATCTAATCCCACTTCCAATGACCTGGAAACCCATTTTCACCAGTCACTTCCGTAAGATACTTGACTTAGGGCTGGAAAGAATCTTAGAAGTTAGCTAGGTCATCCCCTCATTTTGTAGTTAAGAAAACTGAGAAACATTCAATGACCTACCCAAGGTCACATAGCTAGCCACGTTTCAAACCTTGGTCTTCTGACTCTAAGAGTTACTCTTATTTCCTTTTTTTAAAATTAACTTTTTTCAATGAACAAAAGAATCTACTTTCTCCTTCTCCCACTCTCCTCCTCCATAACAATAAAGAAAAAAGGAAAAAAGAAAGAATGGAAGGAAGGAAAGGAAGGAAGGAAAGGAAGGAAAGAAGGAAAAGAAAGGAAAGAAGGAAAGAAAGAAAGAAAGAAGAAAGAAAGAAAGAAAGAAAGAAAGAAAGAAAGAAAGAAAGAAAGAAAGAAAGGAAGGAAGGAAGGAAGGAAGGAAGGAAGGAAGGAAGGAAAGAAAGAAAGAAAGAAAGAAAGAAAAAAAGAAAGAAAGAAAGAAAGAAAAGAAAGAAAGAAAGAAAGAAAGAAAGAAAGAAAAAAGAAAAGAAAAGAAGGAAAGGAGGAAGAGAAGGAAAGGAAAGGAAAGGAAAGGAAAGGAAAGGAAAGGAAAGGAAAGGAAAGGAAAGGAAAGGAAAGGAAAGGAAAGGAAAATCCTTGTAAAGAAAAAAACTCAAGCCCTCTTTCTTTTTTTTTTGCATAATTTTCTTTGCTGGAAAGTCATCTTCTGACACCAAAGCCAGAGCTCTTTCCAGTACACCACTATACTATCTTTCCTCCTTCAATGGCAAGGCATGATGGGAATTTCCTGGGCTTTCTGGCAGATGTGGCAGCAGATTCTGGACAGGTTTTGTCACAGGAGATCCCCTTGATAGGTTCAAAAGCCAGAAGGAGAAGCCTGTATTTGTGCTCTGCGAACGCCTCCATCCTCTAAGGGTTGGCTGACTTTATAAAGTTTTAAAGCTTGCAACAGTCCCCTGAGAGAGGTTGGACAAGTATTTGTCATTTATACATCTCTCTGTGTGTGTGTATACATATATACATATACCTACACATGTGTACATATATGTAGGCATATATTTTTACAGAAGGCCAGACTGAGGCTCAGAGAGGGGCTGTGACTTTGTCAAGGCTCAAACAGCTAGTTTTAAGTCAGACTTGTTGCCAAGACAAGGGCTCTTTCCTC